AAAAGAATGGCGTGAGAAAGACGTACAGTCTAGAGGAGTGATAATTTATGAAGCTTTCGAGTTAGATCGGCAGGCCGGGAGGCACCTTAGCATTGCTTGCTTGAACATAGCCCTATGACATTGTGTAACACAATGTGTGTCCATTCTTCCTATTTTCGGTTGTGGAGCTACTAGAATATCTTAGTGGTATATTAACCTTATGGTGATTTGTAGTAGAACCTGTTTTATTTTGGAAGGAAGGGAAACCCTTTGTTTAAGGCGTTTGGTATGCACATCGTATCCGTATGAGCTCATTGCGAAAGGAGCCTCCAGTATCTGTATGTCTCACAGATAGCAATGCGTTTTGGTTTTTACACGACAGCTGTGTAGGATTAGTGATTCTGATAGAATGGTTCACTAGATCTGTCGTATCTCGGCACTTGTTGGTGCTATTTGGATAGTTGGCTCCCAGAAGCCGTGTGTATGGTTGGCTGTATCCACTCTTTTGCTGCTGGGTGGCGAGGTTAGCGATTCAGGATGAATGGCCTAAACATGCCCACCAACTGTTTGACCAACACCGCAGGTGATAGAGATGTAATGCATGAAAAATCATCGTGTTTTTGCAATGCATAAATAAGTATTCTTTCCTCACGTTATGAACTCAACATGAGAAAAGCCATTTTACAGGCATCATCAGATTGATATTTATTGGAAAAACTGCAAGATTTCAGAAGTCTTGAGTGAGGGGTCAATAAACCCCATCATCACATCAAAGGACTCTACTAATTAGGAAACGAACAAGAAAATATCCCTTTTCAGTACGTGCACAGCGCTTGGGTTAAGATCGTTTCCGATCATATTTTTCAACATAGGTAGCATCAAGGCAGCGCAATATTCCAAGTTTGCGTCGCAAGCGGCTGACAGGTTTGACCTGTCCTCAAAGTGCCAGGCCACGCTACATGAACGTTCAAGTTACCACAAATTCTTGTGTCTCTAGCTCCGGTGATCAAAAGCCCCACACTGACGACTTCGAGAACCAGCAAGCTTCTGCGTAACCATGCGTTCCAAGTGGGTATCTGGCTTTGAGCATTTCTCACTCTTCAAGTGATACCGTTCATGACAATACCCACCCAATGCTCACCCAGATGTATTATGGTTGATCTACTCCTGCTTATTTTTGTGCTCCTGTTTAGAGTTTTGCCTGCTGTTCTCTGCTGTTATTCACTTTTCAGGTTTACCTAACCAGTCCTGCATTCAAATGGAATCGTAGAGATCTCATTTGTCAGTGTGCACCATGCTATCAAAACCTCGTGACGAATGCACACACCCCAAGGTCATGGCTGTAATGCCTGCCCCACCTTCAAGAATATCGGAAGATTCAAAAATAACCGAATAATTCCTAATTTCGAACTGAGCCTGCTTCAACACACCTCTTATATGCCATGAATAGCGGCATCTAATGTATGGCTAAGCAAAGTACTTAATAGTCATTTCTTATTACCAAAATGGTCAAACCTGTAAACTGGTTTGTATTCATGTAACCTATGTTGTACGAAATACTTATATCATTATTATACAGATATGTCATTGTAATTAGGCGTTGTAGCTCAAAAGAACAGACATTTGAAGAACTACGGACCATGTTGACTTTGATTTCGTGTTGTATTCATTGCTAGCGACTGCTCTGTGCTACAGATCGCATCAGGTATTACCAACGCAGTTGACGGCCTGCGGTCTGTCACCACCGAGGAATCCTATGTTATTATAGACACCTGAAAATGCCTTTACAGCAATGTGGGGAAACCTAGGGATAAGATAGTGGACCCATCATCGCAAACCACCAAACATTACTGTAGTCAGACGGCCATCTACTTACGGCCACCTAAAATTCCACACATGAAGAGAAACCTTATATGGCGTATCATCAACCCAACTCAGCACAGTGGTGAACATAGGTACACCACATGGCGATCAACGTTAGCTGTGGAGGATTGGCGGAGGCTCGCAGAACCATCTGCAGCACGCGTTTGGGCAGTAAGCATGCTTCGCTTCGAGCGCACGTGTGTTCGCTCCTGATTGAAGGCATAAAGCTGCAGAAACAAGACCATTCCAAATGCAGCTTGGTGATGTAAATGATAACCATGCTTTAACCCGGGAACTGGCTGGAAAGTTATCGGAACAGGAAATGGCACTCATCCAGGAGAGGCCTGCCACCGGTCCCAGTCTGCTGTCCAAACAGCTTCGAAGGTATAAATGACTCAACAATAGGCTGAGAAGGTTCAATGGACCCCAACACCAGCAGAATTACTGGGTGCTTGTGTGCGCATTCCTACAGACTCCAAGCATAGCGGAGGTTGGAAGTAACTCAAATGTAGACCAAGGAGAAGTCAGTGCAACGAGTCTGCACAGCGATGGATAGCTGGGGCCGAAGAGATGGAAGAGGCGGTGACGACCAATCAAAATCATCAAGGTCAAGCCAGTGATTAAAGAGACCATGGGAAAGAAGGTCCACTTGCAGGAAAGGCGGCTGCAAAGAAGGGTGGGGCACTTCTAGGAAACGTGCAGCTGGGTTTCGGCCACTAGTCCGTTGTCCGCTTTCCAACTGGACCCTTAGCAGAATACCGGGACGGGGCCCGCAACACTTACAGAAGCTGAGAAGGCTGTAAGCAATCTGAAGCAGGGATGAGCAGCATAGCCCTATACGCTAGTGCCGAAGGTATTTAAGGAAGGTAGTAGGGGACTTCTAGTAACGTTAGCTGAAGGCTAAGTTATCGCAAGAGAATCAGATATGGCCCTTTCTGATTACTCTGAGTCACCGATTTTCCCAGTCTTCAACAAAGGTGAGAAATCTTCCTGTGATAACCAAGGGCAACTGACCGGAAGAGCGTAGTGCCCAAGATTCAGGGCCTCATAATTAGTACATATCTAAATGGGACTCAGGAGCAGCAACCCGAAAAAACCGAGCGTGTTTCAGACCATGCCGTGAGCATACCACGGTCTCTAACAGGCCTTCAAATCCAGACACACACCCAGCGCTAGCTGTATTTAACGATCTGAAGGCGACATTGCATCATGCCTATCGTGAACCAGTGCCTGAAACGGACGCCAGGTACATCGCCTTACTGTAGAGTCTACAACCGAACGTCTGTATGCGTTAAGGCCTGTGGTGAGCTAGCGGGTGAGTTGTGCACGTGGAGTTACAATCGTTAGGGGTAGGCAACTCTCGCCATTTTTATCTACCTTTGTAATAGACATGCATACTGAGGTCCCTGTTTCCCTGCTTGAGCACAGGGCAACTAACCTTGTATCAATAGACTCTCTAACCAACTTGAGTAGGCAGACAAAATATTCCTCCAGGGCCATCATTCTGACAAGACGCTGTCTTCTGAACAGCCAGAGTTGCCGTTAGAGGGTGTTTGGGATCACCCCGCAAGCTCAAATTGTCGCCCCAGGTTTGGTCTTGACCAACTGATTTCTAGTCTGAGGGTAGGTAGCGATGTGCTCAACGCCCCCCGAAACTAACCGGACTAGAACAGAGTAAGCTTAAGCAATGCCTCGTTCACGTGGAAATCAGTGAGTGCCCCAATGTACTATCTATGACCTGTTTCCCTTCCTGTTCCATTTGAATGGATTTTCCAGTATTCATGGGTCTCTGGACCTAACTGTCTGGAGCTGCCAGCCTTTGGAAAGCCACCTACAGTTGAGAGAGCATGATTCCACCACAGGATGACCTAAGTGTGGCATTAGATTTGTCTACCGGATGGCCCCTGGAAAAAATCATTAACAGTGCAAAAACGCACATCAGCCATCTACCTGATTCCTCAGCCAATGACATTCTCCCACATAGAGCGACTGGGAGCGGTGATTAAGGCATGATAGCCAGTTATGGTAGACAACATTTTCTAATTCTACGAATTCTTGATCCTACCAGTAGGCTCTTCAGTGGTTTCATAGGGCTATTGTTAGTATTTTTCACCGAGCTTATGCAGGACCTCATTGTGAATACGAAGTCAAAGCAACGAGTTCGTGCTTCAAGTATGAAGCCGATAAATTAGAGTGGCTTCGAAGGGCTGGAACCAATGTGGTTGAAAAGTTCTCCGACAAAGGAAGGTTGGGTTTATTTGGTCTTCCTCCTCTGCCTTTCCATAAGGTGAGGGGCAATACCTTACCAGCAAATCATATTTTGGAGGTTATTGTACGCCATCTGTACGGCCATAGAAACTGGCCACCAGTTGTTCGCACTTTTCGGCCACCTATAAATGTAGCACCGTTTGGAAGCCATTTAGGAATCGTATATTTGCTGCACAGTACCACTATGTCAAGATACAGTAGATAACTGACTAGATGAGTGTGAAGAAGCATCGTAACTAAGTGCGACGTATGATATAGGTGCTTTAATGTATACCTTAGGCTAAAAACGTCCATCAAGAAAATTTTGGTCAGCACCAACTATGAATACGGATAAACACTAATTTATTCATTTTAGAGGACTGTCTGACACAACAATATATTAAATAATGATACGCGGACTGGACTATCTTGCTTTTACTCCTCATATGCCGTTCGTGTGATGTGATCTCACCACGCGACGCATAAAGCACAGTTGTATCATCTGTCTGAAAACTCGTTCATCTCAAACAGATGTGACTCACTGGGAATCTCTCTCAGATCACACGGCATCTGTTAATGCACTCAAAGCTAAGCCAGAATTACTGATCACTGTTAACCGCATGAATTAACATAGCTATCTTTGTTCCTAAAAACTGAAAACCCATTAAACAACACTTAAGTTCAATTTTTTATTCGATAAGCACTGTAAGAAACAACCAAGATCAAAACCACTTAACCAATATAATATTCTAATACTTGAGAAGCAGAATTAGGGGATTTTTGGGTTTTCTACTTCTACAGAATGAGGTATTCAAGATTAAAATATTCCACGTTCAAATATTGTTAAAGTCCACTATCAGCCACTCTGTTTTACCCTTGACGTCTAGGCTCTTGTGCCCCGTTTGAAAGTGATGACTGAAGTTCAGTCAACAACTGGTGTTGAGCAAAAGTATGGCGGAGCTGAAGGTGCGGATGCTATGTATGTGAAACTCGTATCATCAGATGATCACGAATTTTATGTTCGCCGAGAGTACGCTCTTACAAGTGGTACTATAAAAGCAATGTTATCAGGTCCAGGTGTGTTAAATTTATGATAATCATTATTTACAAAACATACTAGCTGTATTCTATGACGTAGGTTTATTACACGACTGTAGATTATTTTATTTTGAGGACCACTTCTCATGTAATTATCATAACCACTCTTGTTAACACTATCCATGTAGGTAAGATTGAGAAGCAAGCAATAATACGGCTAAAGCTGCTCTTCCCACAATTTCGCCATTAATTCATCCCTTTAAGCTTTCTGTAACGCACTTTTGTTCACCCCAGATTCTGTTTCACATCTCCATACCGTCTTATTCACTGTCATCTCATTTACTACCAGCCCCTAACATCCTTCATAATGAATCACAGTATTGATTACTTGTCACCATTGCCGTGCAAATCCCAACGTTGGGGAGCTAAACAAGTTTTTTATAAGGAATATTTGTTTGATAGTGGGTTTTTTCAAGGCGTCTGCGGAAATTTACTAAGATATGTAAGTTTAAAATGAAGCATTCAGGATAGCAACACTCAGAACTGACAGTCATCCATCATATTTAGCTTATTAGCATCGTTGTTCAATCCGTAGAATTACCATTAAGTAGAAGCACCAAGCGTATCCGCTAACTTTCCTGTGGAGCAGAGACATTTACTGGAGGACAACAGCTAAGTTATTCCAGCTTAAATCTTAATATTCTCAAAGTAGGGACTTGTTGACGTAGCCTCAATACATATGTTAGGAAAATACTCATTTCCTTGCTAAAAGCATGTGAAAACCGTGTTTCGTCGTCTTTGCCCAACAAGACCATGTCGTCTGCTTACTCTGAGCCAGCTAAATGCCCTTCGTGTGAGTTAATACCTGGTCAGTTTCAGGTAAGTAAGATTACATCTCTTGGCACGTTTACGACGCAGTTAAGTCGAAATAGGGACACAGGATCCTTAGAAGATGCTATTAATTGTCGTTGTTTCTAAAGACAACTCTCCATAAGCAGTTCTGATTGGAGAGGTGTGATTAACTCCAGATTTTTCCTTGGTGCTCTTTTCCTAGTCGGTCATTACTACAACCTTCGGTAATGGAAATATGGCACTTGTTTGTGGCTCTAAGTACATGTGTGTCCCAAAACCCTTCGAAGGGGAATAGCGATCAATGCACACGGACCCGAAGCTGAAAGCCTCCTGTTTTTCTCTAGTTTATTCTCGAGCTCCTGTCGATCGTCTGTTGACTACTGATCGTATAGTATTAGACGCAATACAGAGGTCGTATGTAGGATAAAAAATATTTTGTCATGTACGCTTAATTTCCTGTAGATATAAGCGGCATATAAAGTGATGTAATTGATCATTAGTTCGCTTTGCTTCACCTCAGTACAGTGCATAGGCGAAGTAACAAAAATATGGGCGTAAGTGGTCTGGTTGTGTTACTGTTGCCCAACACTTGACCAGTCTTACGTAAATCAATGTGCTGCAGTACCCGACTTATCAGAGCCTTACCCACATGTAAGTACTGATAACGAAAGACAAGTTAAAAAACACGTTACTTGGTGAGAAGTACTCAGCCAAACAGTTTATTTATAAATCAGAGGTTATATTAAAGAAAAAATGCTAACTTATTTATCATTGGCTAGGAACTCGGAACTTGTTGCTAGTGAACACAAAGATGACGCAAATGTAGCGGATACCTATACGCTAAAATGAACTTACAGAAGCCACCTGTCGACACCATATGAGATTATTTAAATGGTTATTTATTTTAAACGTAGCCGTATTTTGGTTCCAAAGAAGGTGCTCCTCGAGGATGTCAAAAAACTGGGGAAAGATGGGAAAAAGAAATAAAAGTTGCAAAATATGATTTAGAGGAAGATTTGGTATAGGTGCCACGACAACCAATACTGTCATATCCAAATTTTTCGGATAATCGATTTGCGTCGTCTCGTTTCGCAGCTAAGAAGCCTACACAGCTTAAATTAACAGCAGGAGGCTTCAAAAATTTATGTCGTGTCTCGAGTCTGTGAAACGACGTTTCTTTTAATCTGCAACTACTGTTACTTATCAAAGTAACTGGCGACTCGGTATACATGACGCGTCTCACAACAACTGTAATTTGAGTCACAACAACTGATATACCTTTATTTGATGTTCTAAGTCAGCCCGTTTCACCATACCTGAATGGTATCTCGAAGATAACAGTGATCGAACATATGTTTTGGTCACATATCTTCATTTTCAAAGGCCACTTTCCCCAGCCATATAGTGGAACAGAGCACACATAATAAAATGCACTTACCCTTTGGTTGTTATTTGAATATCTAATCTGCTTTTGTGGTGTAAGTTGACAAAAGCCATATTAGTATTTTATATGCCTTCCACCTTTTCGTCGATTGTCTAATGCAACTTCCTGGGTAAGGTTGTCACTTCGCCCAACTATTTACTACTCTGTTATATATTTGGAGATGACCAACAGCAAGCCTAGCTCAACCTGTTTCGTGGTTGTCGACGCTTGTCAGCAAGATATATCTCCGACTTTAAGGAGACTGATTTTCCCCCCGGGATTCAAACTCGTGCCATCCAGTGCCGTAACTAACAGCAGTTTCATCAGCAATTAACCTCCTTTAAGGGGACACAATATGCACTAAAAAGCATCCAGTTTCATGTTTTCTAGTCATAAGGCAGCACTGACTGATGTGGGTCCGAATCCCTGAGAGAACACTAGACTTTATAAAATTGGTTGCTTTCCAGTGACTAATCAATATTTCTCGATCACTAGACTGCACATTTAAATAGACAAGATATAGAGTAACACTGCAAGCTGGGAAATATGCCTCAAATCTTTTATTTGAAACCAGTTCATCTAAGTGCAGAGGTTGCTTGTAACTTGTCATTCTTATTTTATTCCTTTTTATCATTGTAGGCCAATTTCAAGAGAATGAAACAAACGTTGTGCATTTCCGTGAAATACCGTCGCATGTATTACAGAAAGTTTGCAGTTACTTTGCGTATAAAGTACGTTATACTAACAGTTCAAGTGAAATACCTGAATTTCCTATCGCTCCTGAAATATCTCTTGAACTTTTAATGGCCGCCAACTTTTTAGATTGCTAACCTGCATGGCGTTTATCTCATCTCCTTGCTGCCACCAGCTATAATTTTTCAACTTCTCATTCTACTTATTAGGCTGCTTCACCACAGAATGTTCATCTATCTGTTTCTTGCAGCTTGATTACTGCTTTATTATGTACTGATAAATCTAAGTTTTCGTTTTCATCCTTTCTATCCATATCTTTAGGTTGAATCTGTAGGTTGATAAGCGAAAAAAAGCCTGTCTCTTTTTATGTTTCTTTAAAATTTACCCACTTCTCTTACTTGACTTACCTTCACGCACGGAAAAGCGATTTCACCGTGATACAGAACAATAGTATTGGTAACAACACCAAATACTAATTAAGTCATTGTACTACCATAGTTTTGGTGTCACATTTAACTCAATTAACAAGTAATAAAAATATTGATACTTTTAACTGCGAAGTATTGTCATACTGTGCTGTGTGTGATATTGGGTTACGAACGAATAGAACGGTATCCAAACGGGAAAATGCCATCAAATCCCGAATTAATTAACTGTTGATATACCTTATGCGAGCGAAAGTCGGAGGTGGTGACTTCCAGTTTCTTAATTGACATCAACTAGCCATAATAAACTAGCGGGTAAAGAATTAACGTGGAGTGACTTTAAAGTCATAGTATTTTACACAGATGTACTGAGTTCAGAATAACTTGTGATCTCGTGTGTCTGATTTTGTTGAGCGTTACAATCAATGTCTAGCTGGATTATAAGACAGTTCAAATAGTGAAAAGCCACACAAAATAACGAAAAAACCTAAATTGTCATTGTGCTGATAACCGATTACCAAAATTCAGTCGAAAGGAAATCAGGAGATGAAGAAGCGAAAAAGAAAGCAAATATGTCTCCTTTTTTACTAGATAACTTTACGTTTGTGTCACCAGCATACGTGTCTTCGGCTGTGTATTATATTAGGCAGCTGGCTACCCATGAAAACACGTATTTGAGACTCATTTATAGAGTGCGTGTCAAACTTGGCGATTCTGACCGATTTCTTCAAACCTGGACTCAGCATTTCTAAACAAATGTTGATCCCAATCATAATGAATTTTGTTCCATCTAGAATTGTACTGGACTGTGGCATAGTCATAAAAGGATGTTACTTTATCAAGAATGTAAAAAGGTTCTCATGCCATTTCTGGTTCATTTGAACTTCACAAGTTGTGAGTTAGGTTGGCCACCTTAGAATGACTTTCCACGGCAGCAAACATCTGTAGTTAACAGTTCAGATGGAATTGTTCACTAAGTTTAATTCTGTAAACAAGAGGAACGAATTGTTTGCCGGTACAGCGTAACAGTGGCTCTAACATTGGAATGCGACACTTAATTCAAAGCTTTTACTTTGCTTTTTATCCAGTATTTGGTAAGTTTAGTTCAGCCATGTTCGGAATGTATATTTCCTTAGCGGTTATCCATATTCAGTACATTCCTTGCCCAAAAATCCACTTATCCCCCTTGGTTAAGAGACCTAATGCCAGTTTCGGATAGAGTGTATCACAGGTTACATTTATTAATGAAGATTGCGTCTCAACTTGCATAGCTGTTTACTGTCTAACGACAGACTCTCATTTAGCTATTCGACGACAAATAATGCTCATCAGTGAGACTCATAGTTCTCATCCTCGTTTTTTGTAAAATTTTTGTTTCACGTCCTCGAAAATCTTACGAAATAATTAAAAACCCTTGGATGGTATTGTGATGCTAGGTTGAGATGCTAAGAAAGCATATAACTGAAGTTGATCAGTTTGTCATTTGCGTTGATGTCGGTCAAGATGATCCTTCACAAATAACCCGACCACATTGCTTCTTGTCTTATATGTTCCTTTTTTTGATAGAATGTGGCAACTAAGACCTATTCACTAATGTTCTAATATTTATTTTAACTCAGTTTGAAGGTTGTATTACACTTTCATGTTTAAGAATGAAAAATATTGAGATAATAAGAAATTTATCTACCCAGTACGAACAACGAAACAATAATTATTAGTGACGTTATTTATTTTGAATTTCCGACTTACTTCATCAAATAGATAGGTGATGCTTTCAGTGATAAAATTGTGTCAGAAGCAACCAGACGTTGGTTTTCGTAATTCTCATGAGGTTGAACAACAAACAATTAGATCAAAACCCTTGCTAATTCAGTCTGACTTAGTTAAACAGTATGATAAATGCATAGTCAAATATAAATCTAAAGTGGTCCAACTTATTAATTAGTGAAGATAGTCTCTCTCTCTCTCTCTCTTAGTGTGAAGAATGAGCCATAAGATACATCGATATCTCTGTGTACTACCTTGTGTTTGTTGTCTGCGGTTTAAGTGAAGTCCAGAGGTTACACATTTTCCCTCCCACTGTCGTAAACATATGGGCTAAAAGTTCCAGTTGAACAATAATGAGGATACAAATAAGTGTCTGTAATAGGTCTTGATTTGTGGAAGCTGTCGGTCGTAAATGCTGTATTTCGAGTGTCATTCATACATATCGTTGTGAACGAGACCAGGGGCACAGTAGCGGTAGTACTTGTTCCCTAGGAACCAATAATGAATCTAGCTGGTGGTTACTCCTAATTACTCACCTATTTGGACGCAGTACTTGGTCACTGGAGGGTAAATAATATATCACACTGTTCAGTCCTCCATCAACCAAGCGTGAGACTAGGTGGTTAAGATAGGAGGTTCAACGTTAAGTCGAATTTTACTCAATGTGTTTTCATTAGAAGCCACCGACCCAGATTTCATGTTTCTGAGCCAGGGTTATCTACACTTCTTATGGAACTGATGTTCTCTTAGAGATTCTAATCTCTGACACGCTGCGCTAACTTCTGATGTTATACCAGTGAACTTTCACAAAATAATCCCACAAGTCCTTCTAAAGAACTGTATGATTGAGTGAAGTAGTCCATTTAGCACGATGTTGTCATGCTCCTCAGCTGATGGCAATAAATCAATTATGTTCAATGTAGAAGGAGAGAAATGGAAGGTTATGTGTTTATTTAAGTTCCTAGATTAAATTTCACTAGGGTAGGCGTGACAAATGAGTAGTGTTCTATCACCGTATTCAATTTAGTCATGAACACTGAGATACATATCGAAATGGTAATCTCATCGTTTAGTTATTTACAAAAGAGCGAAGTAGAAATAGTGATTCTAGCCACGAACTCCAGTACGTCAAGAAAAACAACAGTTAGCCTGGAAATGAGTTGTGTGAAATGGTGGGGAATATTTGTAGTTCAGGTGGATGGTCTTGGTTGTATTGTTCTCTGAGCTGGGTTGTTTAGTCGTGGAGCTTTCATCGTCTTTCTAGACGACACCTTAAGCACTAACTTCAGTATAAAATGAGCTGTCAATATCTCTCCGTGAGTGATTTAGTGGCTTGCTCTGACGATGTGGTCCGTGATTGGTTGTTTCCTTCGATTGTTGTCATTGATTGTATAGACTTTCCTGTTGGCTGTTCCTCTGCTTGACCTCTCACCTTTCTGTCGTTTATCATCCTTCTCATTGGTTGATAGATTGGGTCTCTGTCTATATATCTGTTGATTGCTGACTGACCTGAATATCAAGCTTCTAGAAATTCTCTGATATTCTTTGTGTTTCCTCTCTCCATCCAAGATTTCTACATTATCGAAATTGAATTCACGTTCATAGTTGTTATCCACGTGCATTGAAATGAGTGATGAAATGTCGTGACGTTTAATTGCTAATTGATGTTCATATAGACGAAGATGAAGAGGGCTACCACTTTGTCTAGTGTTGACTACAGTTATTGCAGTTGATTCTGTAAATGATATTCTGTTTGTCCTTTTTGTTTGTTGCACCCTGTGGTCTACATAATAGTGTTTGGAGGGAATTTTTTGGTTAATGATTGGCCACACCAATTCCAAGTGGTCTCAGTAATCTTGTCGTGATTTCTGATATATTCTTTATGTACGGTAGGATGATACGTTTGTTGATTTCTGTCGATGACTATAGTTGATAATGTACGGTATAGGCATCTTCTGATAAAGTTTCGTGGGTAGCTGTTCTTCTTTAGGATGAACATCAAGTAATTGATGATAACTGATGGACATCATCGGATCCGGAAATATCAATTCGTGATTAACAATCAAAAGAGAAAACTAGAAAGCATACTCACGACACAGCACATGACAACGTCAACAACAGCAATTGAAAAATCAAACAGAAAATACGGAGAAAAGCCCTCAGGAAAAAGCTACTCAAAATCTCAGAAGCACCCATAGCCGATAAAACAAATGACTGTGTTGCCAACGTATCAAAACAACGACTAACAAAAATGGAAGAACTTCTCCTTCAAAAAGGACTGAATCATAACATAAGAGGTGCCTCTAAACTGGAATTATTTGCAGCATTAGAATCGTCACTGAAAACATAAGAATTAAATGAGGTCACTCGACAAGAAGTACGGCAAACAATCGTACCATTGACCAGGCAAAAGAGATATCACGCTAAAACAAACACTCAAGAACACAAAACATTAAAAAGACTGAAAAATAGAAAAGATGTCGTCATACTTCCAGCATACAAAGGATGCCCTACGGTAGTTATGGACAAACAAGACTACATCAAGAAGAGATAGGATTTACTCATTGCATAAATGCTTACCTCATAGTCAGAATATCGTACAATATGAAAATATTACTGGCCATAGTAATTATTATTGTTATTATTCAACAAACCACCATTGAAATGGTGTGATGCAACCCGAAACTACTTATTAAAATTAGGTAGTATGAATGTGGTCGTGAAATATGTGTGTTTACTCGATAAGCTTAAAATGTTGATCAATCCAGTTAAATCACCTTGGTGCTAATTTTATCTAGTTAGTGTGCATAAAGATATTCAAAATTTTAAAACTATCTTAGACGTATATTAGTGAATGGTTTGAACGATTCGGTTCCGTGAGCTGAATTTTCTGGATACATCACCGATAACTTTGACCAAAAACAAGCGAAATGGCCATTCGGTGC